CCCCCCCCCCCCCCCCCCCCCACACCTTCCCTGCCTGCTCTTTGTGACATGGCTGAGCCCAGTCCCTCTGCAAGCTGGGGGGAAGGGGATCCGTGCTGCCTGCCTGGCTTCCAGCATGCTGCAAAGGATGTTAAAGCAGCTGCCGCTAGCAAGCCGCCAGAGAAACCCCTGTGAGAGGATGGGGGCACATGGAACCAAGCCTGGCTTTGCCCCACACCTGCCTGGCAGAGCTGCATCTGAGCTTGTACGGGCTTCTGCTGCCACTTCCATGCCACATGCTTGCCTGGCAGGGCTGTACCAAGTACATGCTGGTTCCTGCTGCTGCTCCTGCCCCACCTTCCTGTCCTGTGCTTGCCTAGCAGGTCTGTAGTGGCTCCTGCTGCTGTTCCCACCACACCTGCCTATCCCGTGAGCACCTGGGCTCCTTCATGCCCCCCCTCCACCCACATGCTCCGCTGGCCAGCCATGCACGAGCAGAACCAAAGCGAGCTGCAGGCAGAGCCCACCACATTCCTCTCAAGGCTGCAGCTTCCCTTCCCTCCCTGCTGCCTGAAGCACTGCATCAGGGACAGAAGGAGGAGCTGCTGGAGCCAGGGGGAGTCCAGCAGTTCTTTGGGCTGCAGCAGTAGCAACCGTGCCCAGAAGCTGTGCCTGCTGGACAGTGCTGGCGCCCTCTGGTGGGGTAGGCTGGGAGCACAGCAGGAGCTGTCCCATGCAGGAGCAGGCAGGACTTGGCTTCATGCTGAGCACAGCAGCAGAAAGCACCTGCAGGGTTGGATACAATTAACTTGTGGGTACCTGCCTGTGGGCCAAAACCATACAGCTAGCAAGCTGGATCCAGCCCACAGGCCATATTTTCCCCATCCCTGAGTTAGGTTCTGTCCTGCTTGCTGACTTCTGGCCCTGGGACTCTTGCATCCCTTTCCTTATAGCATGTCAGCTTCAACAAGAGAGATAAAGATTGCCCTTAGACTAGGCCGGCAGTTAGGGTTGTGTCCCAGGAGGTAAAAGATGGGAGCTGGAGAGAAGGATGGCCTTAATCTCACAACTACTTCTTCCTGGGTTATTGCTCTGAGTGAGCGTTCTTACTGTTAAGCTGCCACGTAGAAAGTGATGAGCATCCTTGTGTTTCTGAATAAAACTAGCCAGGGGCACTAAAATCAGTGTTTTCTGTGTGTTAGGTACAGTCTTACCTGACCTGCCTGATCAGGCTCTTTCAGGATTAGTTGTAGGGACATCTAGTTTTTAAATCCCAGACAACCCTAGGTGCCTAGAAGTGGTGGTGACTATGGACGTGTGCAGCAGCTGAACTTTAGCATTTAGTAAAAGGAATGGGAAGGAGTGTATTTTGGGGGAAGGCAGGGGTGGGAGGAGGAGCAGATGGTATTTGTTTGTTTTTCACCAGAAAACCTAAACTTTGGATTTTAGGTGCCTCTCAGTTAGATGAGGTTTCCATGAATTATTCTTACTAAATGTTTTTTATGAGTCTCACCAGAAATTCCTGTCTACAGAAGATAGGTTAATATAGAGTAGAAATATAATATAGAGTAGAAATAATGGAAAAGAAAATTCTGTTTTCTTTTAGCCCAGGACTGTCCAACTGGTGGCCCATGAATGGTTAAATTGCATCCCCTGTCCCCCCACCCCACTGCTGCTCCTGCCATTGCTCTTTCTGAAACAGAAGTCTTCCCCTTCCTGTCTGAACCCAGGAGTGGTGCACCACAGCATGGCGCAGGAAGCAAGAGAATGAAGCCTGGGCCATGCAGGCACATGGTGGAAACAGAAGATGCCTATGTGGGCATGTGGTACAGCAGTGAGGGTATGGGGAGTAGCCGTGTTGTGGCATCCAGGGGGCCCATGGCATGTCCTGGTGCAACCTGTTCGGTGTATATTCCTTTCTCCTTTCCCCAACACAGCTGCAGCCCAGAGGGCATTTGGGTCCCAGCCACAAATAAGTGAGACAGGCCTGTGTTAGCGTATAAGTACAAGTTGAGTCAGTTTGTAGTTTTCTGTGAAATGTATTTAAATTAAAAACTTGACTTTTAAGGAGTTTCTTAAATTCCTGTTCACTGTCTTGATGGGGAGCACTCTAGCTTTAATGTTTATAATATCTTAATATTAAAATCTCTACAGTTTTAGTTTGCCAAAGTGTGGTAAAGGTAAACCAGCACTTATACGAAGACACACCTTGGAAGACCGAAGTGAATTGATTTCGTGCATTGAAAACGGGAACTACGCAAAAGCAGCAAGGATTGCAGCTGGTAATTACAGCGCATATACTATTAAGAATATAATTTAAATTTTGAATTTTGCCAACTGGTGCAAATCCATTTTAATAGATCTTGTGCTCAATCCACATATGATTTCCCTGTTGAAATCGATGGGAGCATTTCTTAGGTGGGGATATAAAAATTTGGTCCTTTCAACTAATTTTGCTTTTGAAATGGTTATCAGTAGTGATTTAAATTCTGAATAAGGAATGACAAATAAGTTGTATCTTTGTAGTAAATAAGGTAATTTGGTCTAGAATATCCATTGCAACTTTTCTGGCTGACATTTTAAGTGTCAATATGTAAATGAAGAGTTCTGGTTTTTTTGGTAGGCTTATTCTTACATAAACTTGTATTGTAAAAGCCAGATAAATAAGGATGAGTGGACAGAATTTTGACAAAAGAAATGGGGCATTACTTAGAGCTTCTGATTATTTGACTGGAATGCTTGAAGCAGAACGGTATTTCGTGGTGGTTGTAATTCCATAGTCTGGGTTCAGAGTTCTACAGAATAAAATAATAGACTGCTAAATCCAGATTTGGAGATAGTTAGTTATTTTAAAAAAAAACACCCACCCCATTGTCAACTTGCCTGTCATCCCTTGTTTCCATCTCTGCTTTTAGATTTCTTTTCACAAGCTTTTAGATTTTTTTTCACAAGTCTCCTTGCCTTGTTCTGCCTCATCTCAGCTCCTGTCCTGATGCTAGATTGGCTTTCATCTGTAATCCTCTCCCTTGCTTCTTGTTTCAGTCTCTTTGCCTAGTCAACCCTAGCTCTCCCTTACATTCCACTACCTTGTCAGATCTGTTTGCTGTCTCCAGCTGGTTCTTTGTCTCAGTCTCCTCCTCCAGGAAGTTTCAGTCAGTGTCCTTCCTAGTCCTAGCAGACTACTCTGTTTCTTTCCCTTATCCTGTGACCTTGAATTGAATGGCTTCCTTTCCCATGCTGGTTTAGTGTCATTGCCAGCAATGGAGACGGAGGCTTGTTTTTTGATTTAGTGTCTGTTAAAGTTTCTATTAAGTGTTTGCCCCTGTAATGACTTTTTCCCCAGAAACATACAATGTGGCTAAATTTCAAGAGATTTTAACAAGGATAGGAAGCAAAGTCACAGTACTGCTCCACTGCTAGCTAGCATCAAGCGAAACCAAGGAAGTGATTCTTCCTCTTTACTCAGCATTGGTGAGACCGCAGATGGAGGTCTGGGTGCTGCACTTCAACAAGGACATGGAAAAGCTTGAGAGAGTCCAGAGAAGAGCCATCTGTATTATCAGAGACTTGCAAGGCAAGCCATATGAGGAAAAGCTGAGGGACTTGGGTCTCTTCAGCCTAAAAAAGAGAAGGCTGAGAGGGGACTTGGTAGCAGCTTACTGCTGTATAGGGGGAATACATCAAGTGCTCAGAGAAAAACTGTTCACCCAGGCATCTTTGGGGAAAACCAGGAATAATGGCCACAAACTCCTGGAAGACCATTTCAGGGTTAACACTGGGAAAAACTTCTTCACAGTTAAGTATGTCCAGACTGAAATAAGCTCCCTCTAGAGGTGGTGCAATCACCTACCCTGGAAATCTTCAAGAGGAGACTGGACAGTCACCTTGCTGAGGTTACCTGACGCCAGTTTTCTTTCCTGCCTGGTGCAGGGTGGGGGCTAGACCCAATGCTTTTGCAAGGTCCCTTCCAGCCTTACAAGATATGAATCTATCTATGATAAATTTAACTTGCCTCTCTGAGGTGTCTTAAACTTTTCAAAGGGGAGGGGACAGCTGTAGCTTGACCTGTGTCCTGGTGAGTAAAGGGGTCAGGGAGAGCTCTGATTTTTTCCATGATAAAAATCTCAAAATCAAATGCCAAAATTTATAGGTATTTAGAATTTATTTTATTATAGTGATTGAGGCACTGGTAGGCTTCCAAATTGCTTAAAAATTATAAATGTATCAATAAAACAATGAATTCAACATATAGATATATCTACATATAGATATATCTGGATAGAGACAGATGGATAGATCTATATCTATCTATCTGTATAGATAGATATATTAGTAGCATTTCATTTTATCATGAAAAAGTGCAGGTTGGGGGGGTGTTAATCAGTGAATTCGTAGTTTTTAAACAGTGAACGCAGAATCCTTGGTCATACAGGCCACGGGGTCTTACAGCAATTTTACAAACATCAGAAGTAGAGTTTGAATGTAATTGTTACTTCACTACTAAGCTATACATATATTTTCAGCTCATTAAATTTTTCATGACTATTTTCATTAAAATTGTCTGATCATCTTTTAGATTTTTCTAGCCAGGTAGTGAAATGTCCCATGACTGCATTTCTCTTTGTTTTTGAGGTAATTACTGACCATGAATATTTGTATAGCAACCCCATCACCAAAGTTCTTAAGTGCTTATTAAAAGGAATCTTTCCTGTTGGTACATGTCTGAGAGAAGCCTTGCCACAAGACAGAGGGAATAAAAACCACCCAGTCTGCCTTAAACCATCATTTCATTTTATTTTACATTTTACTTTGTACCTGAGAGAAATAGAAGGTTTTCTTAAACAGTTTTCCTAAACACTTAATTTTTAAGTGTTCCTTAGAAAAGATACTGTTCTGTTCTTTCCATAGGTTGATTAGGCTTAGTGTTGTAAAACTTTGCCCAATTTTGGCTATGCATAATCATAACTACTTTAAAAGAGCAAGAGGTTTCAGCATGGGATTTTGTATCAGCTATTATATGCAACTCTTACATCTTCATGTTCTGGTAGTTGTGCAGCAAATCTAAATTGTTGTAATTAAATCCTGAATAAAACAGTTAAAGTAGCAACAGTTTTGCTACATTTTGTATTGCTATAGGAGCATGCAGTTGTAATTGTTGCATTATAACAACTTATATTAATATCAGCTGATACCAGTGCTATTGTTGCATCTCTCTATATTGTAAGTATATGAACATATATTTGATCCTAAATACTTTCACTATCTTGTTTCTTTTACAGAATAATCAAGTTATAGAGATTCTTATCTAGATAAATTAGTATCCATCATGTGGAAACAATTCCTCTGTTTTAGATTTTTGCCAAATTATTTGCTTAAATTGACACATTTTTAAAACACTTTTTTATTGTCTTCTCTCCTTAACCAAGTTCTTTAAAGGCAAGGCTTGATATTACCATATCCTTAATCTGTGTCTGTTGTGCTTAAAGTACATTATGACTGTAATGAATATATCTGCAAACTTTTCGTATTTTCCCCTAAAAACTGGATAAAAAGTAGTCTGAAAAAGGAAATGGGTTTAGATTTTCTCCCAAGACTGAACAGTTCAATACTAAACAGTAGAACTAGGACACGTATCAGTTTTACCCTATTGTCTTAATATAGCCCTGTTAATTTAAATACATGAACCAGAGCCATTGGACAGACTTTAAAACTCCTAAAAAAAATAGCAGTGATTATTTTTTCTGATTCCATATAACTAATAAATCCTATTTAATGAATCCTAGGTTCCTTTAGCTTTAAAGCATCTCCTTTTGACATCTTGACAATGATGCAGTAGTAATTAAGGCTCCTGACAGACATTAATATGATTGTGTTATGGCATACCAGAAGGCATGAGTTTTGGGATTGGTTATAAAATTCTTCCCACAAAATTCTTCACAATAGCTAGATTGCTGGGGCATGCAGGTAAGGATCAGGAGTTCCCCAGTCTCCAACTGTCTGCACTGTGACATCATCTGCAAGTGCGGGACTCTTACAGATGATTACACAGCTGACAGGCTCACCCTGGCATGGGGACAGTTAAAGCCTTACACTGCAGGCCAGGTCCGGGAGAGTCCAGGATTACCTGCTGCCTGATTTTTGCCATTGAGCAGGATGGTGCTTTGTCCTGGATCCTGAGGCTGCCCCCTGCCCGATATCAACTATCAGGTGATCTTTGGCATCAGGGCAGGGTGGAGCCCTGGGTCCAGCACCGATGTAACATGTTCAGCTTGAAACTGGATACAATCCATCATCTATGTGGCTGGCTTGCATTTTATCCTGCACTTCCCTGAACACATAGCATGTTCCAATTTATCATGAGATTGACAATTAGTGTAGTTAAGTTTCTGTGTAAATAGTGTGATTTTCTTTGGAAACACTAAGTGCCTATACTTTTAAAAACAAATTTAATGGATTTAGATACCTGTTTTTAAAATTTTCCCAAAAGTATTACAGAAAATTTACCACTTTTCTGATGCTGAAATTGTAAATCATTATATAATTACTCATTGCCAAAACCTGCCTGGAAATTTTATTATTCAGAAAATACTGTAAAATCCAGAAGGACTGTGTATTTTCTTGATCTTCGGAGGGAGAAACATTTATAATATCATTGTGCTTTCAGTATAGAAGCATCACCTTTTTTCAAATAGGAAAGAAAGCTTCTATCACTGGTGGTCCTAAACAGCTAAAAATAGGTCACTTCAGTCTTACAAGTCTTTTGGCTTTAATGCTGGAGATTCCCCTCTTCACAATACGTATCAGAACCATGTAGCTGCTAAGAATCATCATTCCCCTCTGGTTTCCCTCAGTCCCATTCCACTCTCTTACAGAAGAGATTAGATTGGTAGTATTTTACAGGAGTTGCTTCTCCTGTCACTGTTTGATCTATAAGTCTCCTTCATCCCTGTAGACATTCATGATCTTCATATTCTTGGTAGTTTCTGACTTTCTCGTGTCCTTCAGTCAGTCTCTTTCCCTTTCTTTCCACTAAAGTGGGGGACAGGGAAGCAGGAGAGGAGCTAAGGAAGCAAATGGAGGTGGTAACTTTCAGCCTGTTTTCACTATGCTGCCTCTTGAGGAGGAAGATGTTTTACAGCAGTTCTTAACAACATCACTACAGGATGCAGGAAAGTAGAGAGATTTGCCATAGGAGAAAATGCAAGGACTTAAAGAGATTGATGGAGGAAGAGAAATTCTAATTAAAATTCACATGACAGACTAAGAAAAGCAGAGAGGACCTGTTCTCTAGTCTGCTCTTGCATGTAAAATGTCTTAAGTTATCTGATGTCAGCCAAGCTTCTGTTTTGGAAAGTACCCAAAGTATGAAGATGTGACTATGGAAACAATAAATCCCTTAACTTGTGTCACGCAAAGCAAAGATTTGGTAGAAGATTTCAGAAGTAACTAATAATTTGGGTGCCTTAAACTCTATGGGAGCTGTTTTCATCAGAAGTATTACAATGTGTTGATCATTAGGCCTATGCGAAGCAGCTAGTATTTGCTTCAGATTCGGCCGATATAGGGGACAGTGATTCAGTTCAGTGATTCGAATCACCGTCCTGAGTTGATTTGGCCAAATCTGATTTGGAGATTCAGACGTGACCAAATCGGCCAATTCTCCAAATCAAACAGGCCCCATCCCCGTCCGCTCTCCCAGCCCCATCAATGACTGCTCCGCCCAGCCCCAGAGTCTTGGCTCTTAAAAAAAAAAAAAAAAGAAAGAAAAAAAAAAAGCCCTGCACTCACCAGCTCCTGCCAGGCGGGAGGCGATCTCCATTGCCCCACGCTGCATGGGGGGGGAGGGGCTCTGCCACGAGCCCCCAGAAGTCCCAATGGCCACTGCAGCAGCTGGTGAGCGTGGGGCTTCTTTTTCTTTTTTAAGAGCAAGGATCTGGGGCAGGGCAGCCATTGACATAGCTGGGAGAGCAGGCAGGGGTTGGGGGGCTGGGGGAGGAGGCAG